GGATGGATGGATGGATGGATGGATGGATGGATGGATGGATGGATGGATGGATGGATGGATGGATGGATGGATGGATGGATGATTGCTAAACAGTTTCATTTCATGTGTGATAAAAGTTGCCAGATGAGGAAAATGGAATTATTTTTGGCAAAATTCCTGGTAAAATGATTTTTCATGTCAGCCACAGAAAGCAGAAAATATATTAGTAAATTCTAAGATCCTGCCTGTATCACTTGTGTTAGCATAGTTAATGCTAAGCTACCTATTGCTGCTGGTGTTGTTCCAGAAAAAAGTACCTGAGAGTGCACTAAGATGTCAGACAAGCTCTTCAAATCAGACATTTTCATTCTTGCTCAGTAAATGGTAAATAGACATGCTATTTTAAACAGGACATATCATTGAAAACCCACTTTCTTAGCAGTTAAATGCATTTGTTGTGTACCAATAGTTCAAATTTGGGATATTTTGTCACAGAAGAAACTGGTTGTTCACGCTTTTATTTCTTCTYGTTTAGATTACAGTAACAGCTGTTTTACATGTCTAAACAAACCCTCCTTGGCTCAGCGAGGCTGTTAATAAAGACCCACAGCAGAGCCCATAACTCCTGCTCTGGCTTCTCTACACTGGCTCGCTGTGCATTTGAGTCATRTTAAAAYTTTGGTTTTAACCTTTAGAGCACTTCATGGTCAGGCCTCCAAATCAAATGGTGCTGGTGGTCCCTCAAACCCATTACAAAACATATGGAGACAAAGCTTTTCAAGTGGCCCCAAGGCTCTGGAACGCTCTCCGTCTGTCCCTTCACTGCTCAGATTCCACTGACTCTTTTAAGAAACATCTTAAGACATTTTTATTCAGACAGGCTTTTAGTTAAGTTTTTTTTCTGTTTTAGTTGTTCATAATAATTTTTCTCTCTGTTAAGCACGTTGTGATGTTTTTATCTGTGAAAGGTGCTATGTAAATAAAGTTTACTTACTTAGAGTCTAGGAGTGCAGAAAAGTTGAGTTCAGTCTCTCTCCTGGTGCTGTAGAAATCTTTATATCCTGTTTGTGTCATATTTTTCCAACCTGTTCAGTTTTCTCTGTTTTCTATAATATTTTCTGAACTATTACCTSACAAATTTTGCAATGGAACCACTAAATAAGATCGGGATTTACCAACTACAGTTTAATCAACTTCATTTTCCTCTGGCTCTGGAAAAGTTCTATTTTTGACATATGTAAAGTAATTTGTAAATAAAAGTTTCTGTGCCGTTAAATAGTTATAAACCCCTCTATCAAACTAGARCTGAATGATTGATTTAAATGTGAAACAGAATGGTTTTAAAGCATGATATGACACATTTAAAAAAAACTAAAAGGGTGAGTCAAAAGACCCAGGACACCCTTTTATTTCAGAAGCGAAAGGGAAAATGAGACTTCTCAATAACCCAGCAAGTAATGGGTGACGGGATCTAATGTCCAGAACATGGCCACCATCTTGAAAGCTGCCATGTTGGATCAAAGTCATGTTTTTTCCAATAAGAAGCGGGTCCTGCAGCATATTTAAAAAGGGCCCAAATTGTCTCAGAAATGGATTTGCTGCAATCAAGACAGAAAGTTGCAACAATAATTGGGAACGTTGGTTGTGATGCACAGGAGTTCAGTGTGCTGTCCTTGGTGCTGAACACAGTTCAGTTCAGTTACCTGTGACGAACAACAAAAGTTTTTAACTTTATGCAAATGTCATAACATTTTTAACATAATTTCAATTTTCAGGTCGTTTTGGCTCAACTGGACTTCATCGCAGTACAACTAAGAGTTTGCTCAGATAATTCATCTGTATCTCAGCTAAGGATGCAGCAGAATGACATTCAGCAACTGCGTTTTGAAGCTTGAAGGATAAATAATGAGTTGGTGACATTAGGCAGAAGTAGCACTAAATGAAAGGGTCTGTTCTGGTAAAGTGTGTGTGTCAGAGTGAATGGGGGATTGGGGGCTCAGCTAGTCGTCTTGCAGAGAGACTCATCTTGCAGAGTGTGTGTGGGAGGCTGACCTAGTCCAGCAGCCTTACATAAGAGCCAATGTAATATCTTCTAATTCAGCAGCCTTTGATGTGATTCCTCTCCTCCTGCATGCAGCCCACTTAGGGAAACATCCAGTCAGCATAGCAACAGAAACAACATTCTTTTTAATGCCTGGTACATCTGACAGTGTTTTCCTGCCTGACTGAGATTATTTTAATGCTGCCCATGGGCACTTTTAATGTGCTTTGTTGCATTTCAAAAAGATTTGGCAACATCTGACTGGTAATAATATTTTCACAATTGCACCACAAAGTGTTACTGAAACAATTCCATGTTCTTGTCTGGAGTGTTATTTGTGCTATCCAGACTGGTGGTTACTGATAAAAATCATTCCAACCACAACAAACAGCCTGATCAGGATATAATTTGTTGAAATTATTTTTATTACAATAAATATGCAGCACATTTATATTGTACAGTGTTGTAAAGATAACAATGTTTAAAATGGTCAATTTGCTTTTTATCCTTGTACAGTTTATTTGTTTGCTTGTTTTAAACATGATTATTTGGTTAAAGCAAAACGTTGCTGAGCAAAAGAAGACATTTAATGTAAATATACAACGCAATTTTTGAACAAAGCTGGGATTTTCTATGAAAATAAATGTACATTTTATTCCTTTTTCTTTGCAGAAAGCATTTTCAGTGGATGCAGAGACAGATGGAAAAGAAGTGAAAGAAGGTTGCAGCACGACTGAGAATCACAACTTCATCTCTGTCACCATGGAAACAACTGAACCAGGTCAGCTGGTTACGGGCTGTGAAATGGGAAGTTTTGTGGCTGAGTCACCTGTGCCAGAGCAGGATTTTAATGCTGACGATGAGTTGGTTTGTTTGGGAAAAGACCCAGCAGATTCCCAGAGGGAAGTGAATCACGCCTCATTAACCACCTCGCCCACCAGCACCAGTGAGACTGACAAGCGTGACGTTTCTGAATCCACTGGAACGTCCTGCCAGGATCAAAAGGATGTGTTTGGATCAGAACCAGGGTGTGAGGAACTCAATATGWATGAGTCAGTCCATGCATCTGTGTCTGATACCCTGTCAGGGGCTGATGGTGTTTATGAGATCGAAGCCCATCAGGACCCACCGGGACAAGACCCTGAAGAAGAAGACAAACCGGAGCAGAACGATGAGCTGGGAAATGATCCAGAACTAAAACTGTATCCTGAACCCGTCCAAGACTGTGATAAAGAAAGCACACCAGAGCCAGAGCAATACCCTGAACTGGACTTTAAGGAAGACTTCGTTATGGGATACTACCCTGAGCCTGAGCAAGACCCTGAACCGGAGCGAGAACAGGAATTTGTGTCTAAGGAAAACTTTGACATGGACTACCCTGAGCCTGAGCAAGACCCTGAAGGAGACCAGGAACTTGAACTCAATCTGAAGGAAGACTTGGAGAGAGGGTATTTCCACATGCAGGACTCTAAAACAGAGCAAGACGCTGAACCCGAGCCCTTTGAGATGACATACGATCCAGAGAAAGAGCAATATTCTAATCCAGAGCAAAACATTGAGCTAGACGTATACAACGAGCTAGAAGCAGAAGTAGGCGATGGCATCATCTGTACTGAAGATGAGCTCTATCCACACTTTGAACCTTACACAGATCAAGATCCAGAGTCCCATGAAATCCAGGCTGATGAACCTTTCCAAAATGTGTCCATCTTAGAGCAGTGCATTAGAGACGAGGCCATGTCCGACATATCAAACGAGTCTTACCATAACCCGGAAGAAATGGATGAGTGCCTGAGAGTTGAAATTGCAGCAGCTTCCTCTGACAGTGAGACAGATGAGAAATGGAGAGCGATATTCTCCTCCTCCATAAACAAAGAAGACGATGACTCTTATTTGGACAGTCTTCAGCTGAGCGCCCAGGAACTCTTTGTGCAGAAAACGGAGACGGCAGACTCGGACGATCAAGACAACAACAACTTTGAGGAAGTTTGTTTCGAAGTCCCTAAAATAGCCGAAGTCCTGGAGCAACCCGAGGAAATTGTCTCCTCTCCGATTCCACCACAGGAAGTGAAATACTGCCCTTTGGGTCTTCAAGGTTTGTCCAAAATATCGGAAGACGAGGGCGAAAACGGCAGAGATGCCAATTATAACCACACCAAACATCAAGACAGCATCAATGCGGACGCGACCAAGAAGTTACCCAAAGACTTCTGTGTAATACAGGAGACAAAGAGCGAGAACGTCAGCACAGAGCACGTGGATTTCCAGCTTGCTCGTAAACAGTGGCGAGAAATGGAGGAACAAATGAAAAACAAGGTTATTTTACCTTCGACTAAGCTGTCGAATTTGCACAGCAGCCACAGTTTCATGTACACACCTGTCCGCAATATTGAAAGAACGCACAAGAAAACRTGTGATCTGGAGAGCCTAAACCTCGTCAGTGATTATTCTCACACTCAGTTCAGCCCTTGTTCCGAGGACTCTGGTCTGGGTGACTCCAGCTACAAGTCCCCTCACGATGACCCAGAAACGCCAATTGAAAGGGAGATTCGCATATCAGTAGAGAGGGAGGAAAACTTCAAAAGAGAGAGGGGTCTCTCCAGGATGGGCAAATCAACAGACTGCGCTCCATCGCGAAATATCCCCCGATCTATAAGCACTCCTCTCACGCCGTCGTTCATCATAACCTCCTCACCCACCAAAGAACCACTGAAACACGACGTGTCGGCAAGCAACGTCATTATTTTAGACTCAAGAAACGATTTCAGCTCCAGCCCCAAACACAGCAAAGACAACATGGCGGCACAGTCTGGTGAGTGGCGCTCTGAAGACAGCAACTCCAACCTCATCATCCTCGAGACGTCAAATTTGATCATTCGCAGCGCCTCCGAGTTTTCTCTCAACAAGGCCTGCGAACAGCCCCAGGAGAAAATGTTCCTCAACAACCCTTTTTTCAAGCTGCGCTCGAGGAGCACGATAACGCTGGTGGATGAAGAGATTAAAATGGTGAAGCAGAGGGAAGAGGAACTCAGGAAAGAGAGGGCAAAGCTGTACGGCAAAGAGACCTTCAGCACGGAAAAGGGGCTGTCGAATCACATGGACACTTTAACGTTTGATAACTCAGGTATGGTACTAAATAATTGTAGGAAAATATTGTTTAAAACRTATTTGTTCTTACTGTAAAATATTGCTTTTGTTTTTATTTTCAKTAGCTGTACCAGTGAAGTGCAAGTCCTCTCCCTCCTCACCAATGAAATCAACCCACCGGATGGACCGCTCTGCTTTATCCTGTGATCACAGAGTAAGTTTGTTTTTAAACAAACCTCTTTTAGTATAATACCATCCAAATGCAATCAAAACACTCGTATATATATATATATATATATATATATATATATGCAGAAGTGGAAACTACTTTTCTCATTCTGAAGCCCTTTTCACACACAAACGTGATTCATCAATATATTTAAATGATAATATTCAGTCTTGGACTCATCTGAATTAATTCAAGTACTTCCTATAATGTTTGTACAAACGTTCACATCCTCATGTTGCACGTCTGGTTTGGTGAAATCTGCTGCTGTTGTTTAAGCTTCCTAAACATTCTGCTACACAAAACATTTTAAATTGCATTTGTAAATGTAGATGTTTCCTGTATTAAAATCTTCATGTTTTTGCACATTTTAATCACCCAAATTTTAAAAAGAAAAAAGCGACCCTGTGGTTAAATCGTGACTTTGGGAATCTGTGGATGATTTATATAATTTATACCCCATGCAGGTGTCAAAATACACAAATGGTCTATTTACAGAAAATAAACTGAACAAGGTTTGCAACACCTGCAACAACTCTGCACCTGTTCTGATTAAAAAAATTTTTTTTGATGTTTTCTGCCTTTATACCTCATGAAATAATATTTTAGAAACTTTCTTACAAATTCTGATCACCAACTCATCTCCAGTGGATTATTTCAGGGTTTTTTTAATATACACTTGGCTCATACATGAGGTACTGATTGGAGAATTTTTATGCTCGTTCACAAACGTGATTGACACCTGTGASACAAAACTCTGGGCTGTGATTTGCTCTTTTTCTTCGGGAGTGGTAGATTTGAACAGATGGCTGTAGGAGCACCGGGAGGAGCCAGAGGAGTTTTGTATTTTTCAGAGATTATCTGTCAAATATCAATCTGTCAGGACATAGTGACAGTTTTAACAAATGTGACAAAAATATTTTTTTTATAAAAGTTACAAACTGCAGTTTTAAGGTAGTGTTTGCTGTGACACTGAAATTATATTTAATTCAGAGGAAAACCAAATGCATCATCTTCATCCATAATGTGTTGTAAATGAGGGTTCCGTCCATTCAGATACCAATGATTGTAGCAGACATGCAAAAATAATTTTAGTCTATTAAACTAAGAAATGAGGTGGAGGTGAAGTAATGTGTTGATGAAAAAAGAGCTTTGGAGGCAAATGAATTATTAACTGTCTTTCAGTTTCCCGAGGCCTTCACTGGAGGAAGAAGAAAAAGTGCCATGGCTCTCCGCTGGGAGGCAGGCGAGTTCACAAAAAAAGACTGAACTGGAACAAGCCAACCGTTTGCCATTTAAGGCCATCAGTTGTCATTGTTGTTTTCATTCCAATTAGGTGCAATGTTATCGTTAATTGTTTCATGTTGTGGCAAAAAAAAAAACCTGAAGTCTGCTTTTGTGGTGCCCTGAGGAAACTCTGAGTATATTTCTGCTACACTTACTGGAACAAGCCAATTTCCAACTGAAACATGAGTTTTGTTCATAATAACTGAGAAAAATGTCAGGTTCTGACCTGAATATGTGCATTATTTTCAGACAATCACACAGTTCTGACATTCTCTTATTATTTCTTAACCACTGGCCTTTATTTCCCCCTCAGTGGGACAATGAAGGCTATTTCTATTCTATTCTTCTATTCGATTCTACCCATATGGAGGGCTCCAACCTGGCCACAACATATATTTTTGCTGAAGTAGTCTTATAATGGTCGTATAGACGTTCCAAACATGCACTTTTACTCTTTATTATAAAGAAAATGCGGGCTGTGACAATTAGCCACAGTATGAATGGAATAGTTGTTTTTTTTTTTTGACCTCAGAAATTTCCATGAGACAAGGGTTTTTAACTTGTGTGTAATGCAATAATCTAGCAGCATGTGTCAGTGTAAGTTATATCCTGCCTAATGACAAAATGTCTAAAGGTTCAAGTCAGAAGCACAAAACTGAAAATGCGAAGTACAAGCAAAGTGAAAACTGTAAATAATGTAAATATGTCACAATATGTGAAGTGAAAGAGTTATGGTCCCTGTGATGAGTAACAGCTGCAACTAACCAAAAACCTTGAGTCTAGAATAAACCCAGAAAAATGTAATGATCAAGCTCAGGTTTGAAATAAATTTAAAGTCATTTTTTTCATTGTTTTATGTAACACTGCGTGAGGTGAATTTCACCTTTACTTATGTGTATTTTAGTGTTTTCTTTTGTGGTGCTCAGGAAGATTAATACTTCAGTTTGTTTGTTTGGTTTTATCTGAACTAAGTTGGTTTTTACAGTAGATCGTCAAACTATTGCCACCCTTGGGCCTTCTCTGTTTCGTTGCCTTAAAATCTGTGATTTAACAGACATTTTTTGAGAGGTTAGGTTCAATGTACCCAACCAAACTATCAGTTTTTATTGTGACACCAACAAGAAACAAGACAGAAAAAACTAAAATCGTTGTTTATGAGGATTTAAACCCTAAAGTCAGTACTTAGCTGAGCAAACATTTGCAGCAGTTCCAGCATCGAGTCTTTTCAAGTCTGTCTTGACGATCTTGGTCCATCAAACCTCTGAAGTCTTTGTCCGTTCTTCATGATCAAACTGCTGCAGCTCTGTCAGGTTAGATATCTGCTGCTTGTGTCCARCCATCTGTAAATCAAAGCAGAGATTCTCACTTGGTTTGAGCCATTCCAGGGTTTGTACCTGGTTCTCCTTAAACCCCTGAAGAGAGGATTCTTGAGGGTCTTTGTTCGGCCAGATGGAGAAACCCCCCCCCCATCCCATCATTTCCTAAAGATGAATTTAAAGGAGCTCACGCTTCTTTATTACTCCACCCTGATCTGTGTTTCTCCACATCTTTGTCTCTAACATGTGTGCCACTGTTCAAAAGAATGTCCCAACACAGACGAGCTACRTCTAATGGCCAGAACTCTGCAGTTTTCACTCATTTACAGGCCAGCGGTCACTCTTTCAGAGATGAGGATGTTCTCATTCTTGATAGAGAGGAACGTTGGTTTGAGAGAGGAGTAAAAGAAGCCATTTTTGTGAAGAAAGACCGTCCATCATTAAACAGAGGTGGAGGCCTCCGTTTTCAGTTGTCCCCCTCCTAAAGCGCTGCCATTGGCAGTATCACTCCACCCCCTGTTAACAATAGGTGTTAATTAGGTGTCAACAATAGCCATGTGATGTGAGTATCAGTCACATGGAGGCAGTGCTTAAAAGCCTGAATTTTGCCTGAAACTCTCAGACTGAAGAAGTCTCTTGGAGGAGAGACGAAACGTTTCATTAGAGAAGAACCCGTCCAGAAGACCTATACATTTTTTTCTTTTTGATTTTTTACCTGGATTACTGAGATGCATCAGGAGACTGTGTGAAGAGTTCCTTGGTSTTCATGATGTCTCTTGCTTGTCAGTAGACCTCACTACTTTGAGATGTTGGACTGGTGTTCATTCTGGGTTCTACMGATCTAGTCACTGGAAGTACTTTTACCCTGATCYAGTGTCATAGATTTTAAAATGAGAAAAATTTGACTTAGAAAAGGGTTTCTTCTGCTGGGATTAGTTATTTTGTAATTATTTATTTGTATTAATTTTCTTCATGTTAGTCTTTCAAAATATCCAAATTTGCACGTAACTTTCTATTTTATTTTTCATTTTTTTGTCAGCCTGATATCAGACGCTACAATCAGTTACTCGTACTCAAGCAGCCTTTTTACAAAATACGTTTTTTAGTCTTAAATAATTTCTTGGATGGCTAATTTTTACTTTTTACTTGAGTGAAAATATGTTGAGGTACTCCTACTTTTGCTTGAGTACAAAACTTTTGTGCACTCCACAACCCTCTGCTGGAAAGTTAAAGGTGTTTACGAAGAGATATGAAATTTGAGCAACGTGTTTGAATTAGAGCGTCTATGGGACCACAAGCTGATTTCTTTACTTCTCCATACAATCGGACTGAAGCTGAGTTGTAGAGCTACAAAGCTGGCAGAGACAAACCCCAAAAGACTTGCAGCTGGAACTGYGGCAAAAAGTGGTACAAAGTATTAACTCAGAGGGGTTCACTACAAACACACACCACACTTTCCTGAAGTTTTATTGGTAAAAACTTAAGAAAACCATACATATTGGTTCCACTTTATAATTRTGCACCATTTCGTGTTGATCTATCACAGAAATCCCAATAAATACTTTRGAGTTTATGTGACAGAATGTAGAACTGTTCAAAGGCTCTGTAGACAAATATTTATTTGTCATTYATAACACTTTTAACAGACTAAGTTATGTTCTGATATTTCAGCTTCTACTTTTGTTGATTTTCTTACCCATTCTTCACGGTGTGGCCAGTAAAGGAGGAATTATTACAGGGACCATGAGCTCTTTCACAGAAGCATAAATGTGTGACTTTTAATACAAAAATRAAACTTGCTGACTCATACAATAAAAGCATTTTCTGGCTTTTGCAATGATAAATGAATGTACCTGATATGTGCAATGTATATGTATTCTTTGCTAAGCTTTTCTTGACATCATAAATGTAAATCAGATTTCAAAACATATTTTGATGTTACTATGTGTCTTGGTGATGAAGATTATACAGTATGTTTTTTTGGTGTATATTAATTGTATATTTGTACTATGCTTTTTGCTGCAGCTGCAGTGCGAGCTGGATAGAGATGATAAACACTATGTACAATACAGATTATAGGAACATATTTTACCTTTAAAAAATAATCTACCGATGAGATGACTGATAAGTCAGAGCCAGATTATTTACTGAAATGAACCTACTATAATCTAGCAATATTCAGTGAACAAAGATGTTTGTGAAACTTGAGACCCATCAAACTTAAACAAAAGAAAATCAAGAGTTTGCAAATGATTTTTATTTAAAACAATGTCAACTTTAATTTGATTTGTWATACAACTCCACAATAAGAGTCTTCTCAAGGTGTCATTCAGAAACAAGTTCATGTTAAGCCTGATCAAAAACATGCCACTTTTGTCCAGTGTAGGGGTGGGAATCTTTAAGCCCCTCATGATTCAGCTTCATTAAGACTCATAAACTGCGATGATTCTCAGTGCATCATCATTATCTATGATTACATCATTTCTGAAGAAACGCGGGACCCCGTTGCTAAGTTTATGACACTATGACCCTGAAATATAGAGACATAAAATCATATATACAAAGTAAAATTACTTTTTTTTTGCATAAACATTAATTAATACTGTATATTGTCATTACTAATGAAAAGTGCAAATTAACAGATTATAAAAATCCTGTTAATCAGGCTGCAGAGCAACGGTTAGCATTTAGTCAAGCAATATATACACAAATTAAACATTTCAATGTCCTAACAGACATGTTATCATTTAATAACATATAGAAACAGAGTGGTCTATAGCATTGGTTCCCAAAGTTGGGGTYGGGACCCAAAGTGGGGTCCTGAAACATCAAGGTGGGGTCCTGAAAAGATTTTATAAATCAATTACATTTTTGCCTTAGTTGCCTAAAATGTATAAATGTAGAATAATAAATATTGTTACTATGCCCATGTTGACCTGATACAAATGTTTATCATCTAAAAATAGCTGGGGGCACAGGTCTCTGCTACTGTTGTTTTGTGGGTCAAAAGCTGAAGTTTGGGAACCAGTGCACTTCAGAAATCAATTTAAAGGGTAATAAAATAATTGATGATGTAATATTTCCCCTATGTGTATTACAAAAACACAAAATAAGTATAAATAAGTATTTATATTTGTGCAGCCTTTGTTTTTAGGGTTATTAACAAAGTTTGTGTCCTCAGACCAGTAATATTTGGGGTCACAAGTTTTTGCCATGAATATTTTGTGGGTCAGAAGATAAAAAGTTTGGGAACCACTGGTCTATAGAGTGGTCAGGAAATTGTGGGCGTCCACTTTTAACCAGTTTATAAGCTAATTCAGGGTTAACTTATCCAACCCTCATTACAAATATTTTCTTAAAACTATATATTTCAGTCTAACACAAAGAGAGGATTTCACAATAAAAGTTTACAACAGGAAAATAGCTGATGTCCCAGTTCACCTGTAGATACTCTAATCCCAAAGAAAACCTGCAGTCTGAGATTAAAGTTAAAATATGTATGACACTTTCAATCAAACATAAGATTGTATAAAGAGTTATAAACAAAACATACACATTATCCAAAATCCTTGCTGAAGGATGTTGAATCAGCTGAACGTCATCAGGAGTTTTGAGCTACCTTGATCATGTAGAATTGATTTCAGTGTATATATTTAAAATGCAATGATGACAGCCATTTCTTTTTTCAGTTTTTTGTTTTGTTACTTTGTTTATTTGCACTCACACTATGAATGATTTATCTGTTAGGAACAAACAGCACTCATTCAAATGAAGGAATATGTTTATTATCTATCACAGCATTGATGTTTCAACTTGTGAAAACTGGGTACTTTCTTGAACTAAGATTACCTTTGTTTTACATGACATATTTGTATGCTTTGTTGTTACAGTACAGCTTTCAGATCTTATGCTTGCTGGTGTTTCAAACTTTTATGGCTAGTCCCTGTTGTGGCTTTTTGGGCTAAATATGTGGGGCTTTCCACTGTTATTTCTCATACTGTGTTTGGAAGAGATTAGTGCAACAATAAAAACAAATAATAATACAAATTATTTTGGCTTGGTCTGTGAATTGTTTTGCAGGTGTGGTATTTTCTTGGGAAGTACGATGGTTAGCCCATATGTATGTCGGCGCCTGAGTCAGCTGTGAGGTTTTGTGGGAGATTGGACCTAAAGATCCAGACCATGCAAGGACGTCTGTGAGAGAATAAATCTTTGAATAAAATAAAAAAAACAAAGAGGCTGACATTGCAGAGACAAATGAAAACATCTGAAGAAACTAAAGGATCACATTGTATTGTCATGTTTGCTGAAAACTGTGAAGTAAACAAAAGAAGTTCTGATAAAATGAATTATGTCACCCAAACTTTGAATTCTTAAGACCTTTTTTTTTATCAGAATAAAACACAAAAGTTAGGAACATTGAAATAACTCTCTGCTGCCATCATGTGGCAAAGATCAATGCTCGCACCTTAGCCAGCCCAAGGTTTGTTGTCGACCTTCCCCATGGCAACAGTCCTCTGTAGCCAAGCMAAGCAAACAGCAGAGGTGAGGAGAAACAGGAAGACAGCAGATATGAACAGCCTCTTATCCAGGTACAGAGTTTACTCTTCATCATTCCATCATCATCGTTTCATCATGACAGCTCAGCAGTTCTCTGTAGGATAAACAGGAGCATGATATGATTATGACTTTAATACTTGACATGTTTCAGAAGAGACTCTCAGGTGCAGGCAATGGAGCAGACGCTGAAACATGCGGAGAAGAACCTGGGTGAGATCTGCTCCATCCTGGCTTCATATACCAGAAAAACAGCCAAGCTCAGAGACAAGGCGGACCTGCTGGTGACTCAGCTCTTCGACTTCTCCAGCACAGAGGGCCCAGAGCTTCAGGTCGGCCTCAAAAACCTGGCTGAAGACCTGGCTATGGTTCAGGACTACAGGCAGGCGCAGGTGGAGGACCCTCTGGACGAGCGTGTTTCAGCTAAAGTGCTCGTTTGTGTGTGTGTGTTTTCAGAAACCGTAACTGTAAGGTTGAGATTCCAGACTTTGTTGTTGCAGGTAGAGAGACTGGAGACAAGAGTTGTTGCCCCTCTGAGGGCCTATGGAGACATCGTCAAGAAAAAAAGGGTAAGTTTTAATGTTAATTGTGTTGCATCGCAAGGGAAGAATAATAACTGTACAATTTGATCCGTTCAGATGGATTTGAACACATTCAATGCTGACCTGAACAGAGAGCAGAAAGAGTTGCAGAAACTAGAGAAAATCCAACTAAGAAGCCCTGCTGATCGACAATCCATTGTATCCTTTACAGAAGGAAGCTGTCCTTTTGATTAATTCTGTACATATACAGGAATTATGTKACTGACCAACAAATCCTATTGAACTACTGAGAAGTCAGCAAAGCTAACCCCCCTGTACAGTCTAGCACTGATTAAAATCATGCATCTTCAGTGATATCCCTGGTCAACATGTGTTAAAGGGGCAATATTATGTTTCTCAAGCATATATTTAAATACTRTACCATAATAAAGTATCTATGTCACATTTAGCTGTTATTAAAATGCTGTTTTTATGTTTAAATAGAAAATAAACTTATCTTCTCATCACTTCCTCTTCTAAAGGCCTTGAAATTGGCCTCTGTCTCCTTAAGAACCACCTTCCACTTCTGTCTCACCCATTTCGGTGAGGGGGGAGGGGGGGCTGCCATGATGCAGTTTACTTGGCATCTGAAAATACATTTCCTCAAAGGTATTTTTAATCTGAACAGAGCTTCACTGGGTGAGAAGTAGTGGAGCTCAGCAGATAGTTTAAGTTTCACTTTCAGTTTCACTCGAGAGCCTGCAGGAGTCATGGGCGGGGTGTGTGGGGAGGGGGGGTGCTCTGCCATGAGGAAGCTTGGCTTAAAGACACGCCCCAGGGGCGTTTCTTGTCCCCACCTGTCGTTTTGCTCCTCAGCATGGCTTCCTAAAAATGCTGCAGGATTTCTCAAACATGCATGAATGAGTCAATTTGGGCATGTTTTTTATGAGAGTATAACATTATAACATGATATGAAACTCAAAAAGGTTGATTTTACATGATATTGCCCCTTTAATGAAAACAAATAGGGGTGTCTCTAAAGCAATGAACAAGACCCACAGAACATCAGAGATCATCTGATTAGAACATTTAATTCAGTTAAAGCAAACAAAACAAAGTTTTCAGCCGCTCATTAGTGTCTCAAATGTCGTCTCAATTGGCCTTTTAATGTGTCAGCTTTGTAATCTGACTGTTATATGCATTAAATATGTCTATTCTGTGTCACGTCAGAAATACATGTTGCTGCATTGATTTCAAAAAAGGGGCTCAATTTCGATGCTTTATTAGCCCCACGTTGATTGTTGCAGTCTGCTTATTTTCTAAAATAGATTTGAACACATGATGGTGGAAGTTAATACTTATGTATCCAAAATGTTCTTGCTGATATTTTATTTTTTTAAAGGCTTTTCAAACCAAACTGATTAGAAAGATTAAAAATTTCAATAATGTCATGGTGTGGAAAAAATTATTTTCGGAAAATGTGTCAATACAACTTTTAGAATATTTTCTTAAATGTATTTTCTTTCAGTCTCAGGTAACGTATGTAATGTTTAAATTGTTTTATCGATTCCATTGCATTATTGATACTTTTCAACCAGCTGATGGATGTTTAGATGTAACCTCTTYTGTTGCTTTGACAGGCGGAGGTGAATGTTCAGAAAGCTTCTTCCAACGCTCAGCACAGCATCAAACAACTGGAAGAGACCATCACAAACTTCCAGAGTCAAAAACTGGAGGATATTAAAGTCGGTTTTATGCACACACACATCCTTGTATTTGCATCAAACTGACTTTGTATTCATTGTTGTAACTGTATTCATGCCTAACCCAGACATTTCACTAAAACTAATTGTTACTAGTCTATTCCTAAACCAGAACCTTAACCAAAACATAATTCACAGCATACCTCTAAACCCGACTAGTAAAGCACAGTAGAGCTGCAAAAAAAAAATAATAATAATTAAAAAGGTGACCGGGACAAGGTCCTTTGCATCAAAGRCCTCACTTTGATAGTAACACATTGCTTTTTGTACATTCCTATCCTACAGCAGATAAAGCATCAGTGTTTAACTTGAGGCCAAAATTAATTTATTTGTTTATTTATTTTGGCAGAAGATCTTTATAGACTTCATCACTGTGGAGATGCACTTTCACGCGAAAGCACTTGAAGTCTAYTCACACACGTACTACAACCTGGAGGCGGTGGATACGCAAAATGATCTTCAGGTAGATGTGCAGATAACAAGTAACAACAAAAGTAAAACTGTATTGAATAAAGTCGGTGGATGGAACAGGATAGATTTTCTCAAATCTAAAGATGTATGATCTCACTTTAGGGAAAAAAATGTTTACAGTATATATATA